ACATGTGTGATTACTTTCAAAGGAGGGGAGAGACAAGGATTAGGACAGGTATTTCAGCTGCTCCTCATTAACCTCACCAAACAGCAAATTGGAAATCAACAGAGTACATTCTAGCTGAAATTCAAAGTGGAAGTGGTAATCAGAAGGCTAGACTGACAAGTTCTGGCAAGTTGGGAGGGCATTGCTAGGGAAAGTGCTGGCAGCTACAAAGCTAAGGGACTTTCTTCTCTTTCCTGCTTTCTCCCAACCCCTAACCCTTCATTTACTCCCAAGAGTAGTTGTTTCATTTAATCTATGAGATTTTGATTGCTGAGGTTCATTCACTTCTATGCATGCAAGGGAACAGACAAATGCAGAAGCTAGTAGGACATGGAAAGCTGAGAATCTAAGTAACCTAAGGAAAAATTTTGGTTTGCAGTGGGGAAGAATGAGTACATGAGTGAAAGAAAACAGACAACAGAGCAGTAACTGAAGGTCAGGTTCATTCTGGAGGAGATGACAAGCTATGTAGTGGTGAAGCACAGGTACCCAGTGGTGTGTCTTATTATGTATATAATTAGAAACCACGTGACTTCTGCTCTGGCTGAAGTCAATGGCAGCAAAAGCTATGCTTGCTCTGTGCTGTGGTTAACTCCATATGAACTTCAACAGTGGTGTATTAGGAAGTCTATTGAGACACAAGGGACATGGATCAGTTATGTTGCAATGCAGAACTTAAGTTGTCAACAAAGAAGGAGCAGCACTGAGACAGAGAAACACCTTTTGCTGCGTTTGTACAAGGAGCCATTGTCATTCCAGAAAGTTCTTTTCCTGCAGTCAGGGTACATACGGATACACCAGTGACGCTTTCCTTCATAGTACTTCTCTGTATTGCCTTCCCTGGGGATACAGATTGCTTCTTGAAATACCTCTTTTAAGCTTGTTGAGGTCTTGATATAAGTTTTGCAGTACCTGAAAACAAGTCCCTGGTGTTCACCTAGACACTGATCAGCCTGCAAGGTCGAAAGGCACACTTCTCAGGCTTGATGAAATGGGAAATACATTTTGGGTTTGTAGTAAAATGAAACTGTTTCCTGTTCCTGCCTGTAAACATTCCATAGGAAATTGAGGCAGTTTTCAATGGAGACTAGGAAACCACCAGTAACCAGGAAAAGTTGCTATTACTGTGGAAAATGACAAACTTCTGCTTATTGCAAATGAATTGAAATGTACACTTTTATCCAGGGGGGTGGAATTACACCCTTTGCACAGAGAACAGCTGCATATGCTGGTGGGAATTGCAAAGTTTTGGCCTGGATCCAATTTGATAATACTCAAAGAAAAGTTTTTGTTGTTGTTGTTGTTATTGTTTGTTTTCTTTTCTTTGAATATGAATGCTTCCAAAACAAAATTCAGTCACTGGACCATCAGCCTTGCAAGGTTCTGAGTATTCTGGCTCTGATCCAAAACAGCACTTAAGTGCATGCTTAATTTTGAGGGCATAATTAGTCTTGCCAATTTCACTGGGGCTATTGACATGCTTAAAGTTAAGCATGCGATTAAGTCCACTGCTTCAAGAATGCTTAGCCCTTTGTAGGATTAAGCCCAGCTCTACAGTACACAAATGATCTTTTGTTCTGTCCTGAATGACTAGGACAAGCAATGGAAGAAATAAGCAACATTCTCTAAAATAAATAATAATTCTGCTGATCACAGAGATAGTACACACAATATTGACACTGAAACTGTCATCACATTTTATCAGCAACATTTTAGCAGCACAAATTAGACAATTCACTTCCATGAACCATGTCTCCATTATCTCTTTTTACCTGAAATCTCTCATTGGTTATGTCCTATATGATGTTGTGTGCTGCATTAGCTGTCCATAATGTCAGCATAACGCTGCTTACACAGACCCACAGGCACCTTCAATATCATGCACCTCTACACTCAAGAATCACCCAGTTAGTGCTGAGCAAGCTGCTGTGTCTGTCCGATACTACAGTATCACACAGGGACACTGACATGCAATGTAACATAAAGTGATGCTGGTGGTGTGACGATCCTGTCACAGGCTTGAGCTTCACTCATCGCTACCACAGCGTATCCCCTTCTAGTGACAGGGCTGAGTGAGATCATTAACTTAGCTCTGACAGAAGCCAGCGGTTTCCTACGCAAGGAGTATAAGAAATGAAAAAGAATGCAGTGATGTTTCTTCACCTTCTGTCATCCTGGCAGTTTCCGGTCAGGAGGTCTTACTGATACAGAAGTACTGACATCTTAAAGCAGTAAGGTTCACACAATTTATGCATAGAGTTGTTCTTTTCATTGTGGCCAGTACTGTTAGTGACTGGTAGCAGGGGATTTTTCATAGCAGGCCTTTATAAAGCAGCAATGGAAATGTCAGTGGTTGCACGCATTTTCCTCTATAATGTTCCCAGTTTTGGTAACATGGGCAGATTTGAAATATGGCTGCAATAGTGGTAAGGTGTCAGAAAGAAAGATAGTGGAAGGAACAGATTTTCATGTTGAACTGCAGTTGTAGGCTTGATCTGTAGGCTGAATCAAAGAGCCACTGATGTTCACAACGAAACTGAAGCATTCTCAAAAAAACAAAAAAAATATATATTTATATTTTTTAATAAGCTTAAATAAATCATATATTTTACAGTCTTCCCCTGATCTTCTCTTTATGCAGTTTCCTCTTTCAGATACACTTAAGCCTTATCCTTTTATCTGTTTTGGCTTTAGTTTCTGCTTTCAAGGTTTGATTGTGGGTGATTTTTTTTTTTTTTTTGTCTTTTTGTTGTTGTTGATTCTAACTCTTTTTATTTGGGTATTTATATAGTTTTACTTCTTAAACTCAGCAAATGCAGTTTTGAAAATTGCTAATTCCAAGCATGGAAAAATGATAGAGAAATCAGCAGGATTCAGTAAACAAAACAAAAGAACTGTAATGGGTTAAGCAGCTGCCAAATCTAATGGAAGAATTTTCAACTAGCACAATATTTTGAAAAGCTACAGAATCAGATATGAAGTTGCCCAGTCTACAGATTCAAAAGGACTCCAGCAGGTCTTGAGAACATACTGTTATTTCCATGAGGTCTGATGCAATCCCTGCCGTGTCTGCAGGCAAGGTCTGGAACTAATTTCTGTTCATGATTCACCAGAGTTCAGCAGCCTGGAGGGCACAAAGAAAGGTGCAGTGCATCTGTTTTGGCAGGCTTAAAGATGAATTTATGAATACTAAAAATCATTTCTTTATAATTCCATCCCATAATGTTTCCAAGGACCTGACATTTTGCAAATTTTAACAAAGTGAATCTTGCAACACCTTTGTGAGATCAATGTAAATATTAGCCTTGTTTGCAGATGAATGAAATCATAATCCACATGGAGATAAAGGCCTTGATCCAGGACCCTTATACTTATGCTTTCCTACAGGTGTTGGCTGAGGGACCTATTGAGGGACATATTCAATATGCCCAGAAATCTTTCTTTCTCCTTTTCTAAAATAATTAAATCTGATTGGGAAGTCACTGCCTAGAAACATAATTCTATTTTTGTCTCTAGGAAAAGAGTACACATTACTCATGGACAACTCTGGAAACAGTACTCCCACAGGTCAGAGTCCTCTGGAAGAAACTGAAAGCAAGAATGGTTATGGAAGAAAGTTTTTTGTTTTTTTTTTTTTGGAATACCTTTTTTTTTTTTTTCTTGGAAGAAATGAAAGCAAAGAAACAATTCAGAATTTCCTAGGTACCATGACTATGAAGAAAATGAAGAAAATGGAATATCAAACCCATAACTCAAAACAATTATTTTGAAAAATTCGGATACTTCACCTTTACATTTGTTATTAGTTTTTAATTGTATAAATAGTTTTGTAACAGAAAATGAAACATTCCTCTCCAAGAAGTGCAAACAGATTGGGCAGGCACCAGAATAAAATAAAGCAAAACAAAACCCTTCAATGAATATTGCTTGTTTTTGTTGTTGTTGGTGGTGGTGTTTTGTTGTTGTCTTTTGTTTGTTTGTTTGTTTGTTTTCCTCATGGGAACAAAATGGCCTTCATAGACCGTAGAAGGTTTTATCTCCAAATTTCTGTTTCTATCTCCTTCAGACTCTGGGAACAGGAGATGTGAAAATAATAATAATAATAATAATAATAATAATAATAATAATAATAATAATAATAATAATATAAAAATACCTTGGTGGATTCAGTTTTATTTTAAATAAATAAATAAATAAATAAATAACAAGTGTTTTAACAAGTTCTATGAAACTAGTTATTCATTACCATCTAGTTGTTCACAATATAACCAGTAGGGAAAAATAAATCAAGGGGAAGGAAAAATGGCAGAAGGTAGAAGTAAGAACAAGACTGATTTAATCTATATTTATCTGTCTTACTGAATTTAATCTCTTAGATGAGAAAGGTAAATCACCTCCTAGAGGTGCTTATACATTGACTGAGGAGAACTTCACATGATTAACTTGAGCTAGACATCTAAATTTCACATATCCAAAAACTCACTGGGGTGAATCCTGCCCCGGATCCCGCTTCTTTTCCTCCATCTGAGAGGTGCTGGAATTGAGTTGAATGTTAAAAGAGGACAAACAACCCTTTGGAGCTTCAGTTTCCCAGCCCTACCACTGAGGAATGTAATGATTTGATTGTCTAATAGTAACAAAGATATAAGTACCTATTTACATGACTTGTTATGCTTTTTATTCATAATTTTAGGTCCTGAATATTGACAATTTGATAAAGATGCAGATGAGAATGCCTTTTCATATTTTCAGATTAATTGTTTGTGTAAGGACATTATCCTTTTCCTTCTTTGGAAAGCTTTCCAGTGACGTCTATTTGCAAGGATGATAATTTTCATATCCGCCAATTTAATATGATATCATAAGCAGTTCAAAAACAAGAAAATAATTAAAATAAATAAATAAATAAATAAGTGGTCTTGTATGAAGTTTTGTTTTTTTCTTTTTATTTTTTCCTGCAGGAAAACAATAATCTACTTCCTGACCTGCTTGAATTATTGGGTGGAAAAGAAGTTAACTCACTATCCCAGTTCCATGCAGGTAATCATCTTTTTAAGCATCAGCACTTCAACACATATTTAATTAAAGCTTGCATTGTTGACTAAATATATTGAATTTAACCATAGGCAGGAGCACTTTCTTCCACTAGCATCTCTGATTTGTATTTTCTCTGCAGGTCTAATAGGAATAAAAAGCAGCAAACAAGTAACTTCATCACAGTAGTCAGTAGTTTAGATTCTTCTTATTCATAATGGGGGTGTGATCTGTGTAAGAAGATGTCATTTTACATCACCTGTTTTCCTAGTAGAAACAGATATCTGTCAAATAGCATAACTAGGCATGAATCTGACCCACAGTTTTTTTGTTTTGTTTTTAGCAAATCACAATGTTTTTATTTAGTTCTGAAAAAGCTGAAGAAATCAATGAATTGATCTTTTCTATATGATATTAAAATGATTTATAAGTGATGTTAAAAATGTATAGATAAATGTTATCTATAAAAAATATAGATAACAGATATGTAGAGTAGCAAGAATGCAAACTGAATGAACCTCCTATTGTTCATTCCTGTTTACTGGCTACAAAGAAAATAATTTTGGTATAACTCTATCCTGACTTGCAGATAGCACTTGTTGCATTGGTGGATAATTTTATATCAATAAATATGAAGGCTAAACAAAGATGAAGTTTCAGCAATGTAAAAAGAAAAAAGTATTCTACTATGATTAAAAGCTTGATTTGGGAAAAAGTGTAAATATGTATGGATGCAGTTCTTTTCTGAAGAATACAGGTAGCCTGGAGTTCTCTTGATTTAACCCAAGCATGAGTTCAGAAAGCATATGCTCTAAAAATATTAACATGGGGCCGGACACACATTTTATCTGAAAGCTGAGATTCTTAGAAGGGTTTGAACATGGACAGCTTGTAGGAACAATTCCTTAGTCTCATTTACAAATCCTTGTGCATTGCGACCAAATGTATTTCGGAATTCTTATGGAAGGTTTATCAATCATGAAGTAGTTTAAGCCATCAGATCATTGAAAGCTATCACATGCAGGCATGTTCATTCCCAATGTAAGTACTTGCCTTCAGTGGTGGTTTCTGAGGGAATGACTTTATTTCAGTAGTCACAGAAGCATCATCATGCTCTGGGTAAGACGGTTAGTGATCAAACCAGCATAAACTTTCCTGCTGACCTAATTTTCCTTCCACTTTATGCTCTGTAAGTCAGGAGTGTATACTGTAAAATTCAGAGAGCATCTGCAATTAAAATAAAGGTAACACGAATTTGAAGTACTATTCATGATTTTCACAATCTTGAAGCCGTGTAACTTAAATATATATTGGTCCCATACCTTGTAAATTAGTCCCTGCTGGAGTAAGTCTTTAATCATATACCACGAAAAGTTGTAAATGGTCCTCATGTTTTAGATATTAAAGCAAATTCAACTTATTTTGGCCTTTAATTATGCCGGGAAATATTTTCAAAAACAATTATTTTGCTAGAATATGTATTTTGCATTCAGAGAATCTGAGCCAGATTCACAATATTGAAAGTGTTGGTCCAGTTTCCTATAGAGAAATATATCTGGAAGACCCTTAAAGATAAAAATGAGAGAACAACCTTAAAAAAAAAAAAAAAAAAAAAAAACACAAACAACAAAACAACAACAACAAAACAACAACAACAAAACTTATAACTGGTATCTGATAGCAGAATCTGAATCAAAATATTTTCTTCTCTGGCAAATGAAGTAAAAAAAATGGTATACCATGAGACTAGACACATAGAAATCATATTAATCTCTAAGCTTTCCCAGTTGCCCTGAGCACATAAGCATGTATTTATTGTTGAGACTATATGGACTTAGAGATGCATTGACCCTTAAACATATAGCATAATTCATTCTGCCCGCCTGAGATTTTGTTGCTTGAAAAAAACTAGATGTTGATTCTACACTATGGTAGAAAGCTCCAGCAGAAACATGTGAAACAGCAAAGGCAATCATTGGTAGACTTTAACTTAGAGTTTGGACATTGTTGAAGTGAGCTTTTAAACTGCATCTTTGTGGAAGTAATAGTCATCTCTGTGGTTGTGATAATGGTTGAATTTGTTGAGATGAAGTTTACGGGCGACTAACCATTAGAAGTCCTCAGCCATAATGAATCCTTTCAGCATATATTATAAAAGCATTAATTAGGGTACATTTTGTGGGCATTAGTGGGGCTCTCACAAGTATTTTCCAGATATTTGACTATAATTTAGCATTAGTCAGGCATGAGTTAATGAACACCAAAGTCTTGATTCCCTAAAAAACAATACTTGTTTTGTAAGTCTCATTGCTATTATATCTTTTAATATTCATTTTCATGAGATTCTTGGTATTCATTTAAATATTGTACGTTACCATCAGCAGTCCATTTTAATTCAGCATTAATGCAGCATTAAAATGTAAAACAAAAGTGTTAGCAATTTAAGTTAAAAGCATGCCTAAAATATTTTCTGTTGGTGATATTCTACTGTCTTCACTAAGTCAAAGAGTCAATCCAGATCTTGCTTAAGATTGTAGATTGTAAACAAATGTCATGATACTTTTTATTTTAGCAACCAAAATGTTTCTGGAGTATTTAGGAGGCTTAAAGCACAACAAAGCTCTTTGCAACAGTGAAGACCTTTATTTTGATACCCAAATTTAGTGGGATGTTTGTCTTTGATTTCAGTAGCAACAGAACTGACTCCAAAGATTTTGCCACCTGTGTAAATATTGTAATGGTGTTGTAACATGCTAAAGGGAAAGGAGGGGTTCTGTTGAAGTTAAAACTTCTCTATGGTGGATTTTTTTTTCCAAGCCACAATACAGCTGACCCAAGAGGAGAGCCAGAGGGGGAAAAAAGCTCTTATCTTTCCCCTTGTTGATTCTTGTGTATTGCCCATCATGTCAACAACACTACAGAATCCATTTTCTATGTCTAGAAAGCTCTCACTTCTCACTCATGTCTGTGAAAATTCCACACATGTGGCATCAGAATAGTGCCCTCAATTTATTTTGATGACTTATGATTTTTTTATTTTTTATTTTTTTGTAAGCCTAATGGACTCACTGAAATCTGTTAAGGTACAACTCTAAACTTCAATTACATGCACATCAACTCATATATATGAGTTCAGCCTGGAGAAGAGGAGGCTCAGGGGCGACCTTATCGCTCTCTACAGATACCTTAAAGGAGGCTGTAGAGAGGTGGGGGTTGGCCTGTTCTCCCACGTGCCTGGTGACAGGACGAGGGGGAACGGGCTAAAGTTGCGCCAGGGGAGTTTTAGGTTAGATGTTAGGAAGAGCTTCTTTACTGAAAGGGTTGTGAGGCATTGGAACAGGCTGCCCAGGGAGGTGGTGGAGTCACCATCCCTGGAAGTCTTCAAAAGACGTTTAGATGTAGAGCTTAGGGATATGGTTTAGTGGGGACTGTTAGTGTTAGGTTAGAGGTTGGACTCGATGATCTTGAGGTCTCTTCCAACCTAGAAATTCTGTGATTCTGTGATTCTGTGTGATTCTGTGATATTACTCAAGATAATTTTTCCCATTCATACCGATCTGCCAAATTTTCTGCTCATTTATGCTTGCATATCTTTTGTTTTTAACGAAAAAGAAAAGAAAAGAAAAGAAAAGAAAAGAAAAGAAAAGAAAAGAAAAGAAAAGAAAAGAAAAGAAAAGAAAAGAAAAGAAAAGAAAAGAAAAGAAAAGAAAAGAAAAGAAAAGAAAAGAAAAGAAAAGAAAGGAATTTAGTCACTACTAGACTTTAAGAAAGTTATTAAAAAAAATAATAATAATATTCTTTTGCTGGGTTGTGGCCGTGAATATTCAGAGAGCAGCACACAGTTAATTATAAGCCACTTTTGTCACATTCATTGTGGCTGAGAGATGCTCCAGTGTTAGGGAGCTCATTTGGAAAGCTTTAAACTAGATCCGAAGGGAGAGTAGGTTATAGCTGGACTTGCACTGGTGGGGCAGTGCCCTAGCAGTGTTGAAGACTGGGAAACCTCCCACTCTCCTAGGGTGAAACTGGCATGCTCAGTTCACACCCTGAATTGCCTGTACACGAATGCACACAGCAAGCAGAATAAGCAGGAGGCGTTAGAAACCCGTGTTTGGTCAGGAGACTATGACCTAGTAGAAATTACAGAGACATGGTGGGAGAGCTCACATGACTGGAATGTCGTCATGGTTGGGTATGTCTTGCTCAGAAAAGACAAGCCAGCAAGGTGAGGTGGTGGAGTTGCTCTTTACTGAATGCTTTCTTCGTCTCTGTCTATAATCCCAGAGGCTCTCCTGAGGAGCCTCATACCCCTGAGGCCCTAGATGAAGTCATAATAAAGGAGGAGTTTGCCTTGGTTGATGAAGGATGGGTTAAGGACCAATTAAGCAAGATGGACATCCACAGGTCCATGGGTCCTGATGGGATGCATCCATGAGTGCTGAGGTAGCTGGTGGAAGTCATTGCTAGACCACTCTCCATCATCTTTGGTAAGTCATGGGCGTCGGCAGAGGTGCCTGAGGACTGAAGGAAGGAAAATGTCACTCCATTCTTCACAAAGGGAAAGAAAGAGGACCTGGGTAACTATAGACCGATCAACCTCACCTCCACCCCTGGAAAGGGGATGGAACAACTTATCCTTGGTGTTGTCTCTAGTCATATCAAGGATAAAAGGGTCACTAGGGGAAGTCAACATGGCTTCACCAAGGGAAAGTCATACTTGACAAACCCGACAGCCTTTTATGAATATAAAACTGGGTGGATAGATGATGGAAAGACAGTGGACATGGTGTATCTTGATTTCAGTAAAGCCTTTGACACTGTCTCCCACAGCATCCTCGCAGCTGAACTGAGAATGTGTGGTCTGGATGATTGGGTAGTGAGGTGGACTGTAAACCAGCTGAAGGGAAGAATCCAGAGAGTTGTGGCTAATGGGACGGAGTCGAGTTGGAGTCCTGTATCTAGTGAAGACCCTCAAGGGTCGGTACTGGGACCAGTGTTGTTCAATA